GTCTGTCTGTCTGTCTGTCTGTCTGTCTGTACAACTATAATGGCATGAAAGTGGTTCTTACTGTGTGAGGTGAGAAAGGTAACCTGGTTGGGCTAGGAGCTGATGATACAATGAAAACCTCATCTGCACCAAGGTCAAGTTCAGTCAAACCGCTGCAGGACAGGTCCACCTCTGCATTCTGAGAGACATCACCACCAGCACTGACTACAGAAACACAAAAAGACACAAAATATAGATGGCTGACAAAATAAAGGAAAAACTAACCAAATGTCTTAGTAAGATGTTGGGTCCTCAAATGCTACCAAACAACTTCAGTGATCCTTGGCACTGACTCTCCAAGTTTCCGGAATTCTACAGGAGGAATAAACACCATTCTTCCAAAAGGTATTCTCTCATTTGGTGTTTTGATGATGGTGGTGGACAATGTAGTCTGATATGTTGTTCCCAAAACTTTTATAGGCGTTTAGTTGGGTTGAGATCTGGTAACTGTGAAGGCCATAGCATATGATTGACATCGTTTTCATACTCATTAATGGGGATATTGTCATCCTGGTAGAGACCACTCCTATCAGCACACAGATGCTTCACAATAGGATGGAGGTGATCCCTCAGAGCAACTTTGCATTAATTTGCTGTGACCCTTCTCTTAAAAGGGAAAACTGGGTGCAAACCATGCCAGCAAAACAAGTCAAATTATAGTTACTCCATTGCTTCACATTGATTTCATGCTGCCTACTGCTTTAAGTAAGGATTGTTTGCTTATCAGGAGAGTAGTAGAACTTAGGATTGTTGTACTGTTAGTTAAATTGTTCAATGAAACAGCATTCAGAGTAAGTTAATCTTAACTCCCTCACTGTTCATAAGCTGTGTGTTTTGGTGTAAACTCTGTGACTGCAGCACACAGCGAGGGGGACTGTACTCCCCTGTTGTTCAAACTACTCCCAGGCTGCTTTGTGGGTTAAATGCCACAACCCACAAATCTCTCAGCCTGAGTTCAGTCCCACTGAGATGGCGAGAGAAGTCTTTGGATTGCTCCCGGATCGAGCCTGTGTGCTGCTCCACAACTAATGCAGTTTTGCTTTTCATTGAAAACTCACCCAGGGTCCACAGAGGGTTTCTCATTATTTTTTTAATTTAAAGTAATTTTTTATAATATACATGGTGATTTAACTAAATCCTGTGCATGAAAGTTTGCTAGGAAAACTAAAAAAAAAAAAAAAGAAGATTTTTCATTTCCAGGGACAGCTTGCAGCATTTTTTGCATGGAATAAACAAGAGTAATAAAGAGTAATGAAGCGAGATAATGATCATAGATACAAAGAAAGAGTATCCAGTTGAGATACTCGGTAAAAAATCCAAACCCACACTAATTTGACTGACAAGTCAAAAAAAAACAGCAAATGAGACACATATCTCAAACCTTAAGTCTATACTTCCAAATGAGTGAAAATAAACTTCTACAGATCACTGCTACGCCAAGGAAATGAATTAATGGCAGATTTATATTCCTGAAGGGATCATTATCATTCCTGAAATTATTCCTGTCAAATGTCTTAACACGTTGTGTTGATATAAATCTCAATGAATGACATCTGCAGTAATGTGCTATTCATGGGCTTTGGGCTTGCTGTAATGCCTTTTAGTGCATTCCTTGTCATACAATCTTTTCTCAGAACATGAAGTAAGCAGAATATAGCTGTTTTGATTCTGAGCATTAATTGATGGGGTTTTTTTTTTAATGACCAACAAAAGCAATCCAATCTACCAGTCTATCCATTGTTGAAATGCATTCATGTGTGTGTCCTGCCAACCTGTGTGTGGCGGGCTGTCGTTGTTATTGTCCTGCTCCGTGGTCGTCTCCAGGTTGGCTTGATTCTCCGCCATCAGCTGCAGCTCGCTGACCTCGGCCCTGGTGTTCTGGACTCCCTCTGGCACCTACAACATAGCATGATGCTGTTCACTTTATCTACAGAGCTTTATCATGGTACCAAACAGTACAAACATGTTCAGTACAGGTGTTAGATAAAAATCCCAAAGCCAGCTGTGGAAATGTCTTCTAACACATAGACACTGTATAGGACAAATTTGTAGTCAAAGGCTGAGACCTCAAATTGTTTTGTTTTGTATTTTTTAAATCACTATTATAAAATTACGATTTCAAGTGAAACTATAAGTGGGTTTTTTTCAGTAAAGTATATGTGGCTAGTAGACAAATCACACTCATTTGGCATCTTATTTCAAGTATTTTCTTGTAGTTAAACTGCTGACAAGCTTTTAGTCTGTTTTCCTTTGGCTATTAGTCTAACTTCTGTGCAGTTCATTATTACATGGTTTTAAAATACACCTACATAGATAAATACTGGATTCTGCTCTTATTGTTTTGTATGACCCCAGGTATATATATTTTAAAAAGCATGATAAGAAAGCTGAGGGTAGCGAACTCCAGCAGACTGAACTAACTGATCCCCAAGGCCAGTGACGTTGTGGGGGTGGAGCTGGACTTTCTGACAGTGGTGTCTGAGTGAAGGATGCTGTCCAAGTTGCAACTTGGACAGTGTCTCCCACCCACTCCACGACATGCTGGTCAGCCACAGGAGTTCATTCAGTAATAGACTCATCCCACCAAGATTCACCACAGAGCGCCACAGGAAATTATTCCTGCCTGTGGCCATCAGACTGTATCACTCCTCACTCACAGGGTCAGACACTCTGAGCCAACAGTCAGACTGGACTCATTATGTTTCAATGCAAGCAGTTATTCTAATTTTTCACTTAACTTCACTTCTTGAGTTAGCACTCAATAATGTGCAACAACTATGCATCTATGTGCAATAACACACTATTTATTACAATGTATACTTGCTTTATTTTCTGAGAAAATGCACATTTTACAGTTATGCTAATACTGTTTCTACTTAGTGTACAGTTTTAGGACATATTTTTCTACTTATGTTTATCTATATATTTTGTACTGATCATATTTCTAAGGCTTTGAATGGGAGCAACTGTAACGGAAGCAATTTCCCCTCAAGGATCAATAAAGTATTTCTGATTCTGAGACTGATAAACTTCACCAAAGTAAAACTACCATTGAGAACACTAATTTGTTCCAATCAGTACACAAGTTAAAGCAGGTTATGCGTCAAAGTATGAGATTTTTTATGGGCAGTGGAAATGTGTGCTTTTACTTGCTTTGCATGCTCTGAGAACCACTCTCTGCTATGGGCGACTTTGGAGGTGGGCTATAATGTGCCCATCCAATTAGAAGTTAGAAACAGTTATATATATATTTTCTGTGATATTGTTTCACTGCTTGTGCAAAAATTTTTTGTTTTTTTCTTAGCTTTTGTAGAATGAGCCATATTAGATGTGCCCACCCCTGTCCATAGATACGACTGGCCTGGCAGCTAATGGTTCAGTTGAAGATTGAGGTGGTATAAATGGAGCATTAAGCCGTTAGCCTCGGGCACAGATGAGCAAAGGGCTATTTTCCAACACCACATGCCCAGATTTTCTTCTCATTTTCAAATTTGCCGTCTTCAGCCTTATAGACTGTATGTAAAATTTGGACATAGCAACTGTGGCATCACCCACTGGTTTGTAGATTATTGTTGTGAGTCCTCAAGTGTGGCATGTGGCCATTGGCATCTTGGTCTTTTGAAGCCGGACACTAGCAATCCATTGACCGCAAGGCAGCCCCACCCCAAGAAAAACATTCTCCTTTATTATCTATTTAACTCTAAACAGGACGACAGTTAAAAACATGATTGTCATGCTGATTTCAGAAAGTTGTGAAACTAGTGACTGAGGCCATAAACTCTTTAAGAAAATGTTCACTGAGATAAGAGATCAAGTTAGAAGTAGGGTCATTTTGTCATAAACTTCTGTACAATGGGACTTCTTTCTGCTATCAGAAGATGGCCCCCTTCTGGGCATTAAAAACAATGCAGGTGTAGAGCAACGTCACGTTAGCTTCACTTTTCAGACACAGAGACTCCTTCCATCTTTTCATCAGTCCATGATGAGCAACAACTGATGCAGTCATCACTTAAGTAAATGTATCAGATTTTGCACAGACTTTTAATGTGTAAAAACGGCGGCATAAAGTAGCCATTTAAATAAAATGTATTTTTGTCAAAGCAGACAAAAGCTTGTTGATCATGTTTTGCATTGGATAAAAAGATGAAAGTACAGTGTTGCAAGATCTGTCACTAAAGCACATCTGCTTTAATATCATTAATAGTATTTGTTTTAAATCTGTGTGGACACTCGTAAAACTGAGCTGGTATGGCTCTGCAGGGCAGAGCTACTGTAGACAGTGCTGGCTACAGTGGCAAAGAACATTAAAAGAAACGTTCAGTGATCCCAGATAAAGCTCTGTTTTCAGAGGAATGTCTGACTGGCAAATAAGGCAGCTAAGACAAGAAGAAAGGTAAGAGATATGAGAGAGTCACATTTTAGGAAAACAAAGGGAGAAGACATGGGAAAATATACAGTCATGTAAAAAAAATGATTTGGTTTTTGGAAATTTGGACAAGAAAACATTTGGTCCCCTTTAAAACAGTGCCTGCAGATAAAGGTGGTATACTCAAACACCAAAAAGAAAATCAGCTTTTTAAATCAATTATTTAACTAAAATATCAACAGATGCGATATTCTTCTGCAGAAAAAGTACAGCCACCATTGGCCTTAGAAGCTAGTATTGTCCTCCTAACTGTCCACCAGTCTCTGACATCAGCTTGCTCAAGTTTTTGAATGCTCTTCCATTTAAAATGTTCTTCAGCTGCGAGATGTTTAGATTAGATTAGATAGAACTTTATTGATCCCTTTGGTAGGGTACCTCAGGAAAATTGTTGAAGGGTTTTCTCACATGTACTGCTCGTTCCAAATCTGGGCTCTGACTGGGCCTGTCTATAATCCTCTATTTCCTATTTTTGAGCTGTTCCTTGGTGGATTTGCTGGAGTGCTTATGATCATTATCCTTTTGAAAGGTCCACTTCTGGTTCACTTTAACTTTCAGACAGATGGCTTCACATAATCTTTAAGTGCTTTTTGATGTGATGTAAAATTCATAGTTGAATCAATGACTGCAAGTTGCCCAGTCTCAGAGAAAGTGAAGCAACCTCAAACCAGATCATTTCCACCACCGTGCTTCACAGTTAGTATGAGGTTCTTCTCCTAAACAGCTGTCTTTGGTCTGCGCCAAACACGTCTTCTGTTACTGTGGCCAAACAACTCTGTGATGCATCTGTCCAGAGCACAATATTCCAAAGAGCCTGTTCTGTGTCTGTATGTCCAGTGACAAACTGTAGTTTTTCTCTAAAGTTCTTTTTGGACAGCAAAGTATATTCTGGTACACGTACCATGTAGGACGAACTTGTGCAGTCTTTCTGACTGTAGGTACATGCACGCTGACACCAACAGTTGCAAGAGTTACCTTCAGATTCTGTGATTAAGTATGGGTTTTTTTTGGAGACTAATTTTTGCATCAAATTATCTCCTCTTGAGGTGAATTTGCCAGGGAGGCCAGTCCTGGGGAAAGTGGCAGTCATCTGGCATTTGTAGATGACTTTTCTCAAAGTGAAATGATTTATTTCAAATAATGTGGAGATCATTTTCAATCCCCTGCCAGACTCACAGGCATCCACAATATTTTTTCTGAATTCCTTTGAGAGCTCTTTAGATCTTGGCACGATGACACCACACAGTTAAAAAGCAACGAGAACATCAGACCCTGGATATTAGAGGTTTAAATAAGACGGGCTACACCTGTCACTACCTAAGGAGGTTTGAATCATTGGCACCTAATATGAAACCCTAGAACGTCAGTTTTTATGTTTCATTTTATGAGTGCATTACCATTATTAATAAGCACTACTTCAAAGATGATCAAATGCTTGTTAGGTCAAATATGCCAAAACACACACACACACACACAATTTCCATGAGTTATTTTTTCATAGGGTTGTAGCAGTGTCTGTACCTCAGAGTTGCTGGATGCGCAGGAGCTGGCTCTTTTTGGACACAGTTTGGGTCTGGAAAACATGAAGTACCACAGCAATTCAATTTATAATTATGGACATATCCGAGAACCACTTTTTATGAACATCCTCAGTTTTCTTCCCACTCTTGAGAGTGTTTTCTCAAGAATACAAGCCCCTGTGGTGTTCACAGCTTGACCAGAAATATAAAAATGGATACTATCCCATACTGTACCAAAATGGGAACTGGTGGACATGGAAACCACCTCACTCGATATATAACAGCGCCAACATACCCGTGGCTATTTCCACTCAATAGATGCTCTGTTGTGGTGTTGGACGATGGAGCAAGATGCACCACAATCTTGCATACGCACAAACACTCTATTCTGCTCTAATAGTTTACATAGTGGTTGTTGCTGAGATGTCATTGCTATGCATTGCTCTGCAGAAATATCCACTTTTTCACTGTTGATAATCATTTCAAGTATGTGTGATAGCAAGTTCTGATCAGATCCAGCACTAAAACAGACACTGTCGCTGCTAAAGGAAGGAACAGTAATACACATTCACTTTCCCTCAGCAAGTACAGATTCTCCACAGGCATTCATGTTGCTATAGTTATTAGATTTTCTGAAACTGAGGCAATTAAACCCACTTACCTGTTTATCGTGGTACTTTCTTAAACATCTGTCTGGCAGTATTATATCATCTATGCTTTTCTGTCCTGTTCTTCAGTTCATGTGAACCAGCGAAGCATGCAGAAATGCTTGAGCAATTGCCCTCTTATTAAAAATTACTCTTACAGCTGAATGAGTTCATTACCAGCCACCAGTCAACTGAGGGCAATCCCTGCTGGGACTCTCATCCACCTTTGGCTGTTTACTGACCAGAGGGGACCTTGGCAGTTAAACTCACTGCTGCTTTAAACTTGCACGATCTCGCCTGACTCGCCAGGCTAGTTGTTTTCCAATGGTTTCTTCGAACTCATTTAAATTAATAGGGAACAACTGAATAAGAAAAAATGGCTACTGTGGCTGCTCATGAGTTTGATGTTTCATGGTAATGCAATTCCTGGCTTCTGAATGACTCATGTTGTTGTTCTTGCTAATTACACTTTCATTTTATTGAACACGTGTTTCCAATTTCCCTGTCATTAATAGGGAGAACCTGCAGAGTTATTGTGCCTGACGGATGAGTTGGAGACGCTGAGCTGCAGTTGAAATTAACACAAATCATATTAAACTGTTTCTCACAGAAAGCTGAATCCTGAGACAGGCGCAAATCTAAGCCATGCCAAATTTTGAATCCATCTGGAGCAGTAGGCTAGAACAGTCAGCTTGTCAGAACAGATAGTATTACAAACCTCCAAACTTAACCCCGTAGTTGGTGTTCATTGTCCCCTGAGATGGAGAGGGAACAGCTTGTAAATTACACCTTTTGATTGCCTGACAATGCTATCGGTACCAAACACACATCGAGTTTTACCTCTCCTTGTTGTCCCTTTTTCCCATTTCCCCGCCCATCACTTTCATGCAGCCTCTGTGTTTTTGTGCACTGGAATTGATGCCAGGTGCTGTACCTTGAATGCCCCGCTGTCTATGGTGAGAATTCTCCACATCAAGGAAGCCGCACAGTTGCAGCCAAACCCAACTAATCACCAAGGGTTACCACATCAGGGACTGAGGCTTCCAGCTGAGTCAACATAACAAAGTCATGACTGTGTAGGTGTACGTGTGTGCATCTGTGTATGTGTGTGTGCGCATTTTCTCTCAGACAAGCCCATTTTCATTCATGGGAGAAATTGAAGATAAGACTTGTGAAATTTCTCAGGAGAGTATTTACGAAAGCTCAGTCAAATGTGGTTTATGGGTCAAAACCAAAGAAAAAAAAAACAGGAATCTGAAGGTTTAATCTGTTGCACATTTTCAACAAGGCACAGCAAGGCTTTGAGCTAAACAAACGTCAGCATGCTAATATGCTCACGATGACATTAACATGCAGATGTTTTGCATGTTCATCTTAGTTTAGCATGCTTAGCATGTAGATAAGGATGAAATAGTAATTTGTTTAGCAGGTTACTGGATGAGCCAAAGTCGTGGATAACTGAAATTTCAACCTGATGATTGGAATAGATAAACATGACCGATCATTAAGATTCATCCTCTGTTGTGTCAGTCCATCAATGTTGAGATATTTTACTGCGGAATATAAAAAAGGACCTGGTGGCAGTGCTGCATCAAAGATCTGGGGATAACCTGACCCAGGATACAACCTCTAGGGTCTTTGAATGTCTCTACCAAATTTAATTGAAAATCAATTTTATAGCTATAAAGGCATGCAAAACTAAAATGTCAATGTGCTGGTCACTATGATTTATCCTCTGGGGGACAATGAATGCCTGTAAAACATAATAAACGATTGTCTGCTGAGAGAAACTGAGTGAACAGAAAACACTGATTGCCAGACTGCCTGCTTGCTTTAATCCAAACTACCTACTAAAGAGAGTGTAAATTGCTTTTGCGCAAAAGATTATTACATATAAAACTGTGCAAAAGTTGTAGGCACTTCAGCTGGTTACTTTAGATTATTTTCCATCATGCATTACTACCAGGTCCCAAATTCGTTCTGCAGCCTGGAGCTATTAAGGGCTATCTTCTGCCACACGAAGACCAAGGAATCCAGCAACATTCAGTATGGTGCACAGAACCCTGACCCCTACATCATGGATGAGACATACGACTGTAAGACAGCCTTAATCATAGAAGAACTGTGGCAAGTTTTCCAAGTTGCTGGAACAACCTACCTGCCAAGTGTCTTGAAAAACGTGGCAGGTAGGTAGCCAAGTTTTTCAAAAACCTTGGGAAAACAAATGCTGTTTAAAGAGCAAAGGGAAGTCACACCAAATATTGTGTTAATTGCACTTTGTGTGATGTTAATGAAGCGAAAACTATTTGTGGCATTAACCTCCCTTTACTTTTAGTCCCTAAAACCATTTCACAGTACTGTATCACCTGGGCAATGATATTCATGATTCTACACAAGCTGAATTCTAGCTTTAAAAATTTCCTTCCCAGTTTGACCTTCTTTAAATAACTTTGAATGAGTGCACAGTAAAAAAACATCACCAACAAATGTCCATCCCATCTCTAAGAAAGTCTGTGCCTGACCATCTCAAAAATTCAAAAGCACTCATTCATTTCGTGTCTTAAAAATGAATTGACTCGTAATCATTTCAACTCTTGATGTGACCATAATTCACAAAAACTAACATTTAACCATAATGTGATTCTGAAATTTTCTTTGCTTTGTTCAAATAAAGTTATTTGACTTCTATTACCTGAAAATGATGCAGAGGGCACTTGTGAGTATCAAAGCGAAGAAGGCAGCTCCGCTCACCGCAGCCAGCAGAGAGTCTACCTTGCTGGCTGTGGGAGCCATGGCCCGTCGGCTTCCCCCTGGCTCGGTCAAGTTGTGGTAGTGGAAGAGAAGAGCAAAACCGCGCCCCCAGTGGGTGGTAGTGATGAGCTCCATGATCACCTCCACCATCTCCTGGCTTGAGCCGAAAACCAGCTGGCTGCTGGGAGGCCGATTGGACCCGCAAAACCTGGAGGAGAAGGTGATGAGGTCTGAGATGTAGAGGACATCATGAGGGCAGGCGTCAAGCACGGACTGCTGGGTTTCTGGGCTCACGGCTGGAGTGTCGGTAGAGTGTGGCGATGCAAGAGTCGTCTCCTCCACATTGGTACTTGGGTCAGAATCAGGGTTGAGATCTTCCCTTAGGTGAGACGAGGAGGCAGAGTTGACAGTCTTGTCTTCTGGGGGCACAGCTCCTGGTAGGAGGAGGAGAGAGGGAGATGGTGGAGAAGACAGGCTAGAGGAAGCGTCTGTAGATCTTTTGGCAGAATTTGAGACTTTGGTAATCTCCATTTTTGTGGACTGTTCCTGGACCACAACTTGCTTGACCTCACTTTCTTGGGAGGGCTGCTGAGTCTTTGAGGCACTCTGAAGGACAGGAGCTTTATCCTCTGGTGAGGTTTCATCTGCCGCTAAGCTGTCAGGAGTAAAAGTCTCCCCTTCGTCCGCTTCTTCCTCTTCAAAATCAGAGAAAGCAGAGTACTGTGCAGCGTCATGGCTTTCAAATACATCAAAGTCAAATATTTCCAGAATAAGCTGGTAATCAATAGGCACAACAAACTGCCAAACACAGTGTGTCCCAGAGGAGTAGTTGTAGGGAAAGCCAGGGGACAGAATGAGGCCTTGGACGTCCACCACGTCCACCTTGGCACCACAGTCAAAGTACACCTGCAACAGGAATTACATTAAGTCAGCTGTGTCACAAATATCAATTTGCTTTTGAAGCAGAGAGACGAATCTAACATTTTTATTTCAGAAATTCACTGGCACGCCATCTCAGAGCAACAATTATCATGCCTCATAGAGCAGAACATGTTGAACATAGCACAAGTACTTCCAAGGGGAATGCTGGCATTCTTGCTATTCTTTGTCATTGTGCTCCGAAGAGCTGACCAGTATTATATTACAGTCTGCCTAAATTCTGAACTGAGTCATGCACTCAGATAATGGCCACTAAGTTATTTAGTTTCCTGTGTCGAAGGTACTAACGGCAAAGGCAAATAACTCACTCAACTTGTGGTCTGATTGCTCACTGACATAAACCAGCTTGAAACTGAACTATTCAACTCTGCTGTTCTGCCTTTATATCAAAGCCTGCGTTTTGCCTGTACTGCTAGCCTGGGTAAACTTGGGGGCGGCCGGGGTATTTCTTCAAACACGCTGGCTGTAATTCTTCCCAGGTGTACAGGGATGTAAGGGGGACCTTGGCTCTAAGCAGAGGCAGATGTGTGGTTGGGCCAGGGAGCTGAAGACCAGACCTTTGTAGGGGGCCGGTGTGTTTATAAGCTTTCCTGTTGGCCTCAGTTCTGGACTGTGGGAATGCCCCAGACTGGCAGACCCCCTTGCCAGACAGGTAACAAACCAACACCCGCGGGCGATGCTTGTGCTCTGGACTGGGCTAAAAACAAACAAGATCTCTTTGAGATTGCACTTTAGATGAGGAGGGAGTAAAAAGGGCATCAGGGACACACACTTTGTGAAGCTAAAATCTTTGGAGTCAGACAGGCACTTTGGTTGCTCCATGGACCGTGTATATCTATATCCAAAACATATCAAAGGCATTCCTCAGCTTGTATATTTTAAGTAGCAAAACCTCCATGTAATTCTGCCTGTAAGCGTGAACTACTTGCTCAGGCCTCGGGTCGTCAGGATCAAACTAAAAATTTTCTCCACAGTTAATACAGCTGACAGCCTTACAGCAGGCCATAACATATTAGAGACACATTGGAGGTCAGGTAGGGCAGCCTGACCTATATAACTAAACAAAACATATGTGTGTGCTATATGGGTGTTAGATGTTAGATGTATTGCAAGAATAACCATCTTCCCTCAACCATGATATACATCAAAACTTTCATAAGCAGCCGGTCCATAGTTAACCTCACACTTTCTCTTGACCTTTTTACAGATTTACTGGATGGCCGAATCTAGTAGTAGTAGTTTTGTAGAGTTTTACTTGGCTTATCCGCAATCTTAGCACTTTTCATGCCACTTGGTCGTATAATGTTTTCCACAAAAACCTTAATATTATTTTTTCTCAGTTACCCCGAAGTCGGTTTCAAAGTTATTTTCATTTTCTCACATGTGTCTACTTTCTTCCCAGAATAATAAAATATTTCCCTGGGGCAAAAACAGCATTAACATCTGCTATTTCCACAAACTGTGCTGCTTTGCTACACCGTTCGTTTACACTGGAACAGACGTTCTGCTCAGCGCATGCCAGTGGCTGTCACAGTTTGTGGAAATACTGCATTAAAATGTTGGTAACGTCCTAGTCAAATATTTATGTTTCTGGACAGACAGCAGTCTGTTGGGTTATGAGATTACCTCTGAGGAAGTGACGGACCGTTTAATCCCATTTTGAGATAACTGGCATTGTTTCATTACTGCTACTACTATGCAGGGCTGGTAAACAGAAAATGTCTGCATGTGCTCACTTGAAATATTACATTAAGTTTACAATGAGTCTAAAATGAGCAAGAAACTTTGTACTGTGGGTGCTTCATGGGTGCAAGAGTGTGTTACAATTCAAAATTAGCCACGATAAAGACAGGTTTGTTATTGGATGTTGTAAGATACATCGTATGATAAACTTATAAATAGCAGGACAGTGCCTTGGCAACAGGGTGTGACACAATACCACAACGTCAGGTGTCCCAAACTGCGATTGCAGTGCAACAGGATCTTCACAGCTCATCCTGAAAGTTAAACCTGGTTCCCCCGCCCTCCACCAAAAACCAGGAACCAGTGGATAAAAAAAAAACTGAAAGATTGGAGACAGAGAGTTGTTCATCCATCAGGAATGGAACATGGTACAAACATGTGCAGAAAGAATGTTTATTATTACCAGAAAGATATGACTGGGTTAAGGGTTTTCATGGTTGTTAGGTGTGAATATTGTCCTATTAAATGGATTATCCAAAGGTTTACAACATCCCTCTCAATCTGATCCAGAGCCGGATTGGGTCAGACTGCTTCTAAACTTTCACTTTTTTTTTGCTTTCCAAAGTTTTCTTTTTTGATTATTTGTAGACATTTATTTAGTTGATAAACTTTTTGAATTTTAAAATAAGTGCACGGCAGACAGACAGCAGGAAGGACAGCAGATCTACTTGGAGACAATAACAGTGTTTAGTGTTAAAGCTCAGCAATTTGGCATCATCTTGTTATTTGTATACATTATAATTCTATACTCAATTATTGTTTGTTCTCTTATTTAACCAGATACAGAAAAAATGACAACATAAAATCAGTATTATATTGGTCATTAAAAAACTCGTAATGGTAATCACTACTTTGAAAGCATAACAAGCTGCTTAGAAAACAACCTTTTTATCTTATCACAGGAGTGCTGTGTATGAAACATTGCTGCATGTGACCAAATCATAGCATTTGGAGTCCTGAGGTCATACATGGGGCTAAGTTTCTGGGAACAATAAGCTCTAGGCCATAACATGGCTTAGGACATGTTTGCCAGTCCCTTATGCATTTCTAGGATATGCACAGTTAAAGTGTGTGGCTGACCAAATATGCAACAAATTAAGCAGCTTATACGCATACGCTACATAGTTTCCTAATTACATTTACAAACAGTAGTACCGTTGTCAAAGACACTGAACTGCTGCTGGCACATGAGTGACATTACATTGAATTAAACATTGCTCACGCTCCTACTTCTTTAAAAAAAGTACTATATTTTTTTCAAGCTACCACCATTCTGACATTGCATTTGTAGTGTTGTGCCATGTTTCTCTGGAACTCACGTTTGGACATTTGCACTAGTGCGTGACATGCTACACCCGCGCCGCCTGCACACTTACTAGAAATTAATGTGATACAGCAAAGAATTACACGGATGACATTTGAACGGGCCAAATGCCATTCCTGCTGAGGTTAGAGAGAGTAAGCCGATTTGGGGTTCGCAGTGTGCAGCGAGGTTGCGCAATGAGGGGAACCACATTACAATACGGGGGCATAACAGGGGGAACAGAAAGACAGCGTGTCCCCTTTTAGGGCAAAAATGACCAGTGGTGAGAGCATGCATGCTGCTTTATAGTCTTGCCATAATGGTGATTTTGCTGGTCAACCTCTCCTAAAGACTTGTGCTGCCCAACTTTTCACTCTAAAAGAAAATTCTAAGTTGAAAAGGTAAACAGTTGCAAATAATGCTCAACTACAAATGATGAAGGGAGAACTGTGTCATGGACGGACACTATGTCATCTCTCCCACCAGGGCGAGGCGACCCGGAGGTCCCCTGCACCCTGGGATGTACATGCTAGACTACACATGAAAGGGCCCCAAAGTGCCACAGTGTCGAATGGAAATGGGACATTCTTATAATGCCAAACATCTCAGTTCTGTTACATCACAGGCCGCTCCGCTGGCAGGCCGATAATTATTCAAGGATGCCTTTTCTCATGGCGGAACAATGGGCCGCGGTGCCGTTCTTGGTGAGCCACTCCGCAAATGGGGTGGGCGGATAATATTTTAATGAAGTGATGCTAATAAGTACAAAGCAAGCTCAAAGTTTACATAAGAGCTGGCTGGTCGCTGCATCCCAGTTGTGACAGGGGCTTCCCTGGACACAAGTACATCAACTGAGCACATAATTGTCTGAAATGACTTGTTCAGTGAAACATCAGACCAGCTGCTGTCATTACTGAGAGGCCCCCAACAAATGGCTTTGTTCTGTCGTGTTCCCTTTGAATTGGCACATGTAAAAGAAAAAGAAAAAAAAACCTAATCACATTCCATGATGGGGTTCATACATCAGTCTAATTAATACAGAAGCAACTTTAAACACACTGACGGATTTTATGGAGCTGATTTTTATGTGTGGTACAATTATATTTTACTAGAAAATAAAACATGCACCATTAAATAAGATTGTTATTACTAAGTTAATTTAAAATAATTTTACAACATTATTTAAAACTATTGAAAACCAGTTTAACTACAATATTGTTTCCTTTACGGTCAGTCGCATCCTAGGCTTATATCTGTTATACAAAAAAAATTAGAAAACATTTCATTTTTAGACCTCTGTTTGCAGTAAACAAGTCAGACTTGTCCATCCACCTTTATTTGACAAAACAGAGGTCTGCAGTCTGATCTAACTGTTCGCTGCAACATGGATTTTTTTTAAAAATTTTTTTTAAACCACCCAGGCTGACGACACCGCTGTGAAAACTCTGCAACACGAGCTGGCTTCTGCTGAAGTACTGTTAACACACACACACAGACACACACACACACACACACACACACACACACACTCTCATGCACAAACAGCTCCGGACTGGCTCATAAACAGGCAGGCGGGCCCCTCAAAAGGGGGCAGGAATCCTCACCAGCCCTGTTTACTGGAGGAGAAAAGTGACACTGCTTCACAGGCTAGCGCTCCAGTAGCAGCAGTCCACTCAGGATGCACTGCAATCGCACTCAATTTCTGGACCAATACCAACATAGTAAGACTCTGTGGACAAGTTGTAGGTAGCGTGTGTGAAAATATGTCTTCAAAACTGTTTTCAAAAAATCTGTAGATTACATTTTCACTTACTCTTAATCTAATCAGGTAGACTGACTAGATTTGATTTCTGAGTCATGCAAATGTGATGACCAAAAGATGTATGAGGAAACTGATGCAGCTACACATTCGCATTTGCAC